AAAAAAAATCGCTTCCCGGAATTAATTCCATTTCAGCGGTTTTTTCGGGCTCTATTGACTGGGCTATCTTTCCGAGGTCTGTTATTGCGCACACGAACGTAACAGCGAGGCCCGCGCGTTAATGCGCGTCTACATTGATTTCGTTGGAGTCGCAATTTCGAGATGGAACGTTTGTTTTTCCAGTCATGTGGATCCTCACCTCTCCAACTACTGTTTAGCTGTCACTTCGGGTACGCAGCCGCACCCATCGACGCTCTGCGCCGCGCAGAACGTTCTGAAAGCTCATCCGCACTCATCGGCGAGAACCGGCTCTTCCCCGAAGGAGCACCATCATCGGGGCGGACCGGAAGGTCTGCACTGCGTGCGGCAGACCAAGCTGACGCTTCACAGGATGAGATACGACACTACGTACAACTTTACCCTATACGTGGTCGGTCATCTCTCTCGTCACACGTTAATCGAATCGATCGCTCGTAAAACCGCACGGATCATATGCTCAGTTTAAAAAGAAGGCTGATAGACGCTCTTCCGTTTAGTTTTTGCGCCGTGTTCATCTTCACGCGAGAACCGCATACACAGTCTTGTACACAGAGCGTAAAGATTATTAATTGGACACAGTTTCTGCAATGCGGAGCCAACTCCGAAACCTTTACTTTTCCGCTGGAACAAATTTCGCGAAACAGAAATAAAATTCTGCGTCAACGTTATCCGAAATATAATGACCGAATTATAATCCTGCTCAAATACACTTCCATATGTGTTATTAGAAAATTTTCTGTCCACTGAAGTATCACTTTACAATAGGAGAACTAAAAATCACAGAAATGATGCTTGGTTTCTTATTACATAACTGCCATGCATACAATTTCTGTAACTCTCTTGCGAGACATGTTTATTTACGTGTTTCATTACAAATTACAGATTCAGCTGTGCTACGCTGAATACCTCGTGAATTTGCTTGTTGTTAAACTATCGAAATGACTGACGCTGATTCAACAGGTGAACACGCGGAACAACGTCTCCAATCGGGTCGCCACTGACGCTATCAGGTTCAAGAAGACGCCGGAACTGACGTTGCGTACCGGTCGTTACACCACGGCTAATCTGCGAAAGACCGACGGTTTCGTCAATTTCCGTTATCGTCCGTCGGACAACACCTCGAGCACCTTTCACATACTTCCCTGCGGTGGAGGCATCGTGAAGGCGAAATTAAGCGGACAAGGAATACTGCGGGTAAAACATCGAGTATTTACAGAAAAGCGATCGGATGCGCGCCGACCGCAAATTCACGAAAGAGTCTATTAACAATTGACGCTATCGCAAAGCCACCGGCCGTCCTGTCATTAATCGGAATACGGCTTTCGTGACAGCGTCGATACACCTATATGCATGTAAAACGTGTCTCGTGTGATCAGCAGGAAAAAGAGGTGGTCGGATACGCCTCGTTGCGCGTACCTCCTCTACCCACCAATAAGACGTACACCCTGCGTATATCGACCACACCGCAGGAGCTAGTTCGAGTATCCACCATAAAAGTCCTCGCTACGCAGGAATCGTCCACCATTTATCCGCAAGTATGTGTGTGTGTGTCGGACTTTGCAAACTAATATATATTTCCTTCATACAACTACCGCGAGAGATTCCGTTACACTCTATTCTATCTTCTGACACTTCCTCATAGTAAGGAGAAATATATTATAGATAAACTCACATCTAGTTATACCATACTAACATTCTTTGAGAATTTACAAGAATATAGCACCGTAGTCGCGTAAAATCATCATCGATTGGCTCTCCCGTCGTCGATAATAAATTCCGATTAACCAGAGCTTTGTCTTGTTCGAGAAGTAAATTGGACGTCGCACTTTTTGGCGCAGATACCGTCCAAGAACCCGCCGCGGGAGTACCGATCCCTTAGGACATGCCACGAAGTGACGATAGGCGTGGAACCGGCCGGCGCCGCGAAATATTGCATCCTGGTGAAGGAACTACGGAGTTCGTCGTCCTTGGCGAGTGTCACGACCGTGCCGGATCAGTGCGGGCTCCATCGGCGTAGGCGGTCCGAATACACGTTCGAGGTTTGCGAGGAGAAGCGTAACCCACCGAACGATCGAGCGCTGCCGTTCACCCTGAGGAGGCTGCAGCCCGGCAAGGCTTACCTTTTGCAGATCACGGCGCAGATGAACGGCCAGTCCTTGTCCTACCCGCTGCTGGGTGTGCGCACACGACGTTCCTGCGTAACGTAATCCGTATGATTTCTATTAAGCGAACTGTAAGACCGACGCGACGATAGGGGCACCGTTGGTGACTCCTAGACCCACCTGTCTTCTCATCAAATAATGTACGAGCGTTGTTCGAAAAGTTTCTCAAGTGATTTATGGATGTCGTGACTTTTCATGTAATTGAGACCATTGATGGAAAAAGGGCACATAGACACTTAAGAAACCTTTCGAACACCTTGCATACCGGGAAAAAAACGATCTACAAGGTTTCGAGGATCAGATGTGCAAATCGTATATCTATCGCGACAATAACGCGAGTTTTAGAAATCTATTGAAGTAGGTACATGCAAACTGATATTAATATTTTATATAAATTTTCGCTGTTTTAAAATTTTATTCAGGTAAGTATAAACGGTGATTATCTATTGGATCTTATTGGACTCGATAAATAACTCCCGTTTTATTTTTGCATGTGAACTATTTTATCTCGCTATTAAGTTTACTTGCCAACCAATCGCGACGACACTGAGCGCGAATCGATGTGAAAACAATAAAAACGCAACGAGAAGTTATTTCCGGATTTAAGGATTACGTTCAGTCGCAGAGGCACAGTCATCTAGTCTAGATTTTACGACACGTACAACCATACAAGTGTACACACACACACATATGCGACATCCGTGGTAAATGCGGATCGACAACAAACGTATACATCAACGTATTTTGATATTTGTATAACATGTATGTGTATACATTCTTCATATAGTTATAAGTTTTTTTATACTTCTCTCACCCTAAATAAATACAATAATTTTGCCATTTTTACAGCCATCTGTAGTTATGAATAGAGATTACATGAAATCGAAAAGAAAAACAAATAAACAAAAATTTAGACAGACAAACAAGTAATTGGTATTCACGCGAGTCTGGCGTGTACTTTCTCATTTGTAAGTAAGAACTCTAAAGATCCTTCCCTGTTTTACATATCGACTTGTATAATAACAAAAATATAGCTACTGTTACGTGTCACGACGGGCTAAGATCAAAGTTCCACTTCGATGAGTCTGAGGAGCCTTTCACCGGGCGAATTTGGCGGTTCTGCTTTCAGCAACGAAGCTGCTCTGGCGAGATGGGCTCGCTTATTCTCGCCGGGACATGTCGCGAGCTCCCGCAGGGTGACCGCCGTGTAAAGCGCCAAACGAGCGCCATACGGATCCAATCGACTTACCGTGTCCATGACGTGCTTACATAATTCCGATTTCCGTGGATCGGTCGCCGGTAGCAGCTGCATCAGTGAGTGGCTCACGGATATGCAATGCTGATGACCGGGATGCAGCAGCACCGTAAGCCTAAACGGACGATTTGTTGAGTTCCCAAGTAATAGCGCAGAAAATATGGACGTTCATCGCGACTGTCTAATATTTAACATTGTTCTCAGCGAACACGAAATAACATGCAAATTACGTACAAGCTAGACTTTCCTACTCAACTATGTATCATCAATTAGGAAAAAGGCATAAGGCTCTACCGTGAAAGAAGATCAGATAAGGTATGTTCGGTCGCCTGCTTCATGACCTCCGTAACTTCTTGCTCCAGTCTATCCATCAACTCCGCGATCTCCGTGGACGTCACTATTCCCGGACACGCGTCACAGGACCAATCGGTATTCAGGTTTAGGGGATCGTTTGGCAACATGAGTCCGTTTTTGCAGGGACAATTCAGGGTGCCTAAATGCGTGCCCAATTCCGTGGGATCGGCGCAACGCTTGCATCGACAAGCGAAGTATTTCGTGGCAAGGAGATGCTCCCTCCTGACCCTGGTGGACCAAAGCGCGTGTGTGTACATGGTGCTCAAGTGTTCTCCCCTGAAAATATCAATCGCGCGAAATGCGTACATAGAAAAGATAGAAGTAACAAATAAAAACTTATATGTATACTCAAATTAACGCGTTCATTGTTTTGTATATACTGAACAATATATAATCTTCTTATAAGAATTTTAACTTTTTATTTCAACTTTTTTTCTTGAACTATATAAAGTGACTTCATTCTAGCAAGTTTTCTTCGTTTAACGCAATATAATCTAATTATTTCAAGATTTTCACGTCAAAACTAAAGATATTTTTAAATTAAGAATATTCTTTTTTTTTTTATTTAGCGACAATAGATCTCTCAGTAAATGAATAATTTTTTTATGAAAGAGATAAATGAAGCTACATACATACTTTTTAATTGACGTGACCGCATATACGGTAATCCGCGGTCTGCCTTTGTCGTCGACGCGAAAGCTGTGTCGCGTGTTCGCGATGCAGCAGTGCTCGAGAAGAGACGCGTTCTCGTAAATCGCCACCGAGCCTTCCGGCGGCGCGGTCTCCAACGCGTTCACGTCGATCAGGCCGCAAATCATCGGCAGAATGTCTTTGCAATCAGACGCCATCGATAAAAGTGGCCCGAGATGCTGGCTCACACTCAACACCTCGTCGTGAGCCTCGGTGCCGGGTCCACGCGACTCCACGTGATTCTGCAGTTTGGCCAAAGACGTCCAACGTCGCGATTTCATGCGCCACAGTATCAGTATACGAATCACCAGAAGCACCTCACATCTGCGGGCGTAGCGCGAAATTAATGACGCGAACGAAAAACTGCTTCTTTAGAAACATTTTTAGACAATTAAAACTTTCCGGATGTAGGTACGACTCAAATCGCGATTAAACAAATTCTCCTCTCCCTTTGTTAAATATCTCGCTAATTTAGTGGTATCTCGCAAGGTGGATACTTCATTACTATCCAAAACTTGCGCCGGATAGAGGTACCTGGGAACAATTCTAGCGTGCGCAAGGAAAGCGCACTCGAGCTGGTGCCTCTTCTTATCGGACAATCCTCCGCAATCGGGTCTGCACACCGGCCAGCAACACCCGCCGCATCTCGCGTCGACGTCGTCGCACCGTTTACCGCAACCGACGCAGACCCGCTGATTCGCGTGAGTCGATGGTCCCCAGACCAAAGGCACTTCCGAGAGGATCACGTCTCCCGGCGTCAAGTCCCTGGTCGCCAGCAAGTGCCGTCCGAGTGCAGGGTCGCGACCTATCTCCCAACCGCCACACGTGGACTTATGACGCGGCCAGTCTTGAGATTGGTGCGACTTGTCGCAGTAAAATTCCCGTTTGCAGCTGCCGCACTTCAACGTGGCGTTTTCGCCGCACACCGGGCACGCACCGTACCTCGGAGCACTCTCCATGATCAATTAATTTCCAAGATCATCGCCGAAATCGGATTTAAACTTTGACCACTTAGGTCTCTGAAGTCCGACCATTAATTTAATTAATTTAGCTGCGAGGAGAACGAGCTGAGTAAGTGTGAATTGAAAGTATAACGTTGTACTTTACACCATCGAAGTTCTTCCCTTAAGCTTATGTAATGTATTTCCATATACTTACGGTATTGATTCGGCAGCCGAAAATGAAGTAACATCAGACGCACGATCAAAATGGTATGTTTATTACATTTTATTAAGTTTATTTAATTCCCCCTGGCGATATAACTAGGTCAGACTTATTGTGAGAACATCGTTCATCGGCCGCTAACTTTATCATACTGAACAAACCGACATTTGCTAACGCGGCGGCCACGTTTAATTATAGGTCGGACGGCCATGCTACTATTTTCGTACGTAAAATGAAGGGAATGAAGATTTTTCTACTGACGCACACATGGATCGTACGTGCTAGTGAGCATGCCAGCACATCCAACGAATTTATGGAATTTATGGTCCTACGTCTGAATCTAATCTTAAAATTGCCTAAATTACATGTAGAACAATCTTACATACATATGATTAGAAATTTGCCTGTATCTAAATATAATTATCTATATCATCCACGAAGAAATGGAATTATCTTTATCTTTATCTTGTGGTGGCCCTATACCAAGATGGCAGTCCGGCACCGCATTAATTAACCGCGCGCGGGCAAACGCGCTTTCTCGCGAGCGCCTGGGTGCGCCGATTAAATATATAAACAAATTCAGCAACAATACTCATTGCCCTTATCGACATCCCATCTCACACTACATCCAATCATGTATCGTTCATCCAACCCCATTACATTGACTACAATAGTTACCAAAATTTAAATGAAAAATAAATTGATAATTAGAAATCTAAATAAAAAATACGCAAAGTACATTCATCTTTTCTTAGAAATACAACATTAATAAAAATTTAAAATTGAGTACTATTTTAATATACCTTTTATAATCTGCGTAATTCTTTTTATAAATTTTTATGTGTGTGTGTCTAAAAAATTATTTAGATAAATCGCAATAATCATCTTATCTCTCATCTAGATTAATTAAAAGCAAAATCATCTCACATATGATAAATTTACGAATTATGATTTTATCTTTAGACGATTTTGAAATTATGCATATGGCAGATCAACACTAGTAATTATATTTCGCGATGGAACGTTTTTATCCGATATATGTCATATATTTTAAAATTTTTTCTAGTAGAGGAAATAAAGCCATTTTACATAAGTAAATTTTTTTCCAATAGTGAAATCGATCATCAGATCCCTCTCAAGGAAAAACCATATGGAAAATGGAAATAACGAAAGCAATGTAGATAATATTTCGATTTATTATTAAACGTGCCTACATGATACAAATCAGGGAACAACACAATCTCGTTATCACTTTATGATGTAGTAAATATGTTTTGTCCTTTGCGTGTACGTGATGAGAGTCTAATAATTATTACACCTTACCTATAGGAGATGGGATTAATTTAACGATGTTCATCAGATTCGGTACACAGACTATCACAAAGTTGATTGCTGGTTCGGGTTCGTACATGGGTGTTTCTAAAATGATCACAGCCGCGAGCTGAACGACATAAAAAGTAACACGTCCAAAAGCATCTTTTTTTACCTCCACGTACCGTGCCCGATTCTTTACAATATTCTCTGTAGCGATCGTATCTCCCTTGGAAAACGCCGTCGATAATCCGCGATACGCGTGAAACGTGATTTAAATCCGTCACATTTTTTCCACCCTCATTTCCGCGAGTCCGCTCTGTTCTCTCGCTTAACTTATTTCGCGCGAGCATCGATTTTCAATTCCACCGCGAAGATCGATACGCTGGAACTCGGAAAATCAGTGCTATCGTGCTGTCGGCTTGACATTAGAATATATCGGCACGCTTGAGATGTGAGTATCGACCACGTATCAAAATTTATAGCCCGAAGCGAACTCTCAGAACCCATAAATTCCAATTTTAATCGGAAACATTCCGGTTCTTACGAGGTTGATCCTTAAAAAAATTCTCGACGTCGTTTTCCTTTCTCCTTTTTTACCGAATCACAGAGTCACGCCGGAGTCGATCGTTCCAATTCCATCATGTCAAGATAGAAAATACGGATACGCAGTTGACGCCGCGTTAACGCAATTTAGAATGCACCCTGTACGTGTAGCATCATTTAAGAAGTACGAGTCGCTCAATGACCATGAGAATGACACTTTTTCCGTTTTTTTTCTTTCTTTTTTTTTCTCTCTCTCTCTCTCTTTCTCTCTTTACACCTTATTATACAAATACAACGAGACACCGTGTAATTCTTATATCTTCTTCACATATTAAGAATATATTCCTAGGTACTCTGCGAGGACGTGCGACCGTCCGTAAAGCGATCCGTCGGCGCTCGCGGAGCGGCGGCACGCGAATGAGCCGTGCTCAAAGCAAACTTAATTAAGTGATAATTGGCAAACGCGAAATTCCCTCCCCGGAGAGGATTCGCGTGCCGCCGACGCGCGGGACCATCCAAACGGACATTTACGCCTCGCACGTCATCGTCGTATCTCGATCTCAGTATATCACTCTCTAACTGCGCTATATATATATATTTATATATATTTATTTATTTATATATAGAATGCATTATGAACTCACCGCGCGGCTCGCAGCCGCGTGTGACAGAGACACCGAAGCACATGCAAAACAACTCAAAAATATAACATAACAGTGTGCGATTCCTCGCCGGCTCCTCTTTTCTCTCCACTCTCTCTCTCTCTCTCTCTCTCTCTCTCTCTACCATAAATAGAATAAATTATTCCTCTTTATGTACAAATGGTACTTCCTCTTGGGTGTTTGTGCTTACGTAGGCCTGCACTCTCGCCGTGCGTTTAGCGTTTAGCGTTAGGAATCAATTATGCCGATAACGCTCAGTCGCGCCGAATTTTATGCCTCGCTTCCGTATTACGGAAATGTTGACAAGGAAATTTCGATAAGCTCTTTGACGCGAACGGTGCCAAGATCGGTGGCGCAACGGGCTTCGAACGTATATAAACGTACAATTTTCTCAATCTTATTTATAAAAACAGATTGCGAAAGAAAAACGTAGCGCTAAACGCACGATGAGCTACTGTTCTTAAATGTACAATACATCTTGTCCGCTTCTAGCTTGTGCAGATCTTTCGCGGCGATTGTTTGACAGAACGGCGATGATCGAACTTTGCCTTCTCCATTGTATCAAAATATATCAAAATCGCGAAACTAGAACAACCGATGGCGTTCCCTATTTTCTCAAGCTGCAGAGCAACGTCGGTCGTCGTAGTTTCTGTATGTACGGATATTATTCTGCGCGACAATGAAAATCTGCGGGATGCGTTAAAGTCTTCCTGAATGTATTTAGATATATGCAAGTCGATTTTCTTAAAATATTACCGAACATGTAAATTACTGAAATGTTCTTTCTCTCTGTCTCTCTCTCTTGCATCGGGAGATATCTCAATAAAATGTACATAGCAATCACGAAGAGGAAATTCAATCTGCATTCTGAGAATATCTTGGGCCCTATATAGTGAAAATATATGTATACTCAGTAGACGTGTGTATACGATAGTTACATGAGTATATTTTAAAAATATTACCAAGATATCTCTTTTACACGCAATATATCTCAAGGATACTACACGTGATTTCCCAACAAGACGTGTCGACGAGATCCCGCGGATTTCCCTACGTCGCGCGGAATTGCATCGGTTTTGCCCCTACGAGTGCGTATAGTAAAAATAAAACACGCATGCCTCGGACACCGCGCGCATCCGCTAATAAATTAATATTCATTCACCGCTTCGGCAAACAGCGCAGTACACGCGGTTCTACAGCGCCGCAAAACGGGAACGCCTGAACGCTTTAGCCTCGGTGATTATGCAATATGTAAAATAGATCATTTGTGTTTGCTCATTCCGCGGGGAGAAACGCTCTTGCAATGTTACATTGCGACATGCGAATGTACGGTCATCGTCGGGAAACGCTCGCCGTCCGTTCACACGGGATATACCTCGCCGTTATCGACGTCATATGGCACTGTATATATCAGCGTGGTACTAATGCTCGCGTAAATGCATCTCGTACTTGGTATAAAAAAAACCGAGGATCCTCTAGTTTTTCTGCGTGTGTTCAAGATTGCGATTTCGCCATGGGTGTCGTATGACAATGTCGAGAAAAGGAAGTCTCTCTCCCCCTCTCTCTTAGTTTCTTTTTCTCACATCCACGCTATCGTTGGTACTTAAAGAACATTTTATCGCCCAGTTTCATGAAGCGCACAACTCTGGTAGTCCGCGTCTTATATTTACGAAACTATTATCTCTGCTTGTAAACAAAGGCCACTCAAATGCAAGAATCTACTACAGATACTAAGAGTACACGTAAAGAATAAATCCCTCGAATGTCTCGACAAGTTAAATGACGTTCGTAGACAAAGGTTCGTAGGTTCCAATGTTTAATTATTTGACCGGTATTAAAACAGCCGTTTAAGTCGCGAACCATCACGAGGGAATCGATTTTATTAACGAACAGTTTACTGAACTCTGTTTAGCGCATCACTGTAAAGACCGATTATGTGGACGTATTTCAGTCAACGTGCGTCAATACAAATTTTTCGCTCTTCGTTTAAACCCTTAAAACTAGTTACTAACACTTAGGCCTCGCTAAGACAATTCGGCCTGCTGTTATGAGATCAACGTTAGGGGAATGAATGTCTCGTTTGCGCTTTACCTTATCGGAGACAGTCATATGAGTCGAATCGCGATTTGCGATATAAGGCGAAACTAAAAAAAAGTACATGTAAAAGTGTATCAATATGTGAATCTTTACTAATCGTTTGACTCGGCAAGAACTATACTCACGACATTTAAGTGATAGTGACATTGTAATTCACATTTTAAAAATATTCTTCAAAATAGAACTTATATAACTATGTAGCCCATTCATTTGAACAATTCAAACAAATTCGAGGTGTATGGGAATTTTGTACTATTAATTGAAGTACTATTGATGATTCATTATGTAGCTTCAGTCAGTTAAATAAAAGATCTCTTAATACAGTTTCCGGTTTCAGATCAAAGCATCAATGGCTGATCACAGCATCGCGTATTGTCGCATCACTACATTCAATGTATATAGAGAGCGCCAGATAATTTTTTGATTCGATATAATTGCATTTCAAAGACGTATGTCAAACGCGTGTGTCAATCAATCATTGTCTAAAAACATGGAATATGGCAGTTTGACATTAAAACGGAAATATCAGGTTTTCCCTCAAGGAATTGATATCATGACCTCGATATCGACTGGATGGACGAACGATAAAAAACACTTTGAAAATTTCTTTTTGAGATTCACGTAAAAGCAGAATTAACGATGTCTAACCCGCTGACTGCCATGCTTGCGCATGTATCTTGCAACATATTTACTGAGGCAAAAGAATGTAATCAGTGTGCACGGAGTATTATCGACGATTCTCTAATTCTGTCCTCAACTAAGTAAGCGATTTTACAGTAGAAGCGAAAGTAGGCTTTATACATACATTGCATAGAATGGCAGTGAACGCGTTGAGATACTTTTAAAAGTTTCAAGAGAGACCTTTGGTTTTCTCTCTCTCTCTCTCTCTCTCTTTCTTTCCGTAGCTACACGCTACATCCGTTTCAGCACAAGCTCTCCATTCAGTTGCGAGATGGAAACAACAAAGTCTAAATAAACATTCTACCCTACAGTCGATACATATCCTTGTGTTGAGATTCCAGCCACTTCTCTTTTTACATCGTGCATATATTAAATGGAACTAAGAATCCAAGTTCTCTTAAATGCGGGTTTCAAATACGGCCTTACAGCAATAGGATCGGCATGTAAACATTGGTTAAATTGAAAATGTCACGATCCGCGTAATCGTACATTCTAAGCAATTCCAAAAAACAATGTGTACGGTGTTCCACACACATCCTTTTGTTCTTTTAATCATTTTAATGTCTCCTAATGATTTCATTTTATATTATATTATTATGTAATCTTTTAGGTTTTGTCATCTCTCTTACGATGCTTAAATGTTAAGTTGAGAAAATAATTTTTTTTCGTTTATTATAACAAGCAAAATGTTCAACTCGTTTCTTCATAAATATTCAATTTTCCATAAGTCTTCTTTACGGGGCTCAATGGTTCCAGCAGAAACACTTAATTTGCACGTAAGTTTTATTTTACTTTTTTTTTATATATTTTAGGTTCATCCTTTTCCTCGTTAGCGCGCGCGAAGTGCATGATTCACTATTTATTCGAAAAAAAGTATTTTTTTCACTGAGTCCAGAACCATTGTACGCGTTAATTGTTATTTATTGTATTACGTCCAATGCTGAGCATGTTGTAACGCTAAGAGCATCCGTGGAGTATCATTGGCTAGAAAGCACAAGAAATATTCTAATGTTCTTCAGAACGTTTTATAGTACGCTGAAATGTTTGTAGCTTGCTTTGGTTTCTTTCCAGTCAATTTCTCGACGTTACCAAAATCGTTACTGAATACAGTCGGCAACCCTTTCCTCGAGCAACGGCCTCTGTTCGTTTTGTGTTCCTTTCTTCACGTTATTAAGCGAGGACTGTGCAAACCTTCTACCTGAGTATCAATTTGAGGACAATGTTGTGTATCAGGCGGTCCCCAATCGTGCAAATTTCCACTGTTAGCTAATCTGTGCGTAAGTCGATGGGCTATTGAGAAACCTCCGCTACCTTCCAACTGCGTTAGAACTATGATGACTTGTCTGAAATCAAAGTATTAATGTAAAATTTGGTCGTGCTGTGAGCAGAAGCTTAATTAAATTTTACCTGTGAAGGGGAGGAACACTATCGGCAGTTCTGAGTTGTCCTCTCGTGGACACGACGTTATAGCTTTCATGGCAGTCGCATTTTACGTGAATCCACTTGTTTACGTGACGATTTTCAACCATTACCACTAAACCGGCCCACCCTTTAGTTAAATAATAGGCAGTCATGCCTTCTCTGCCCTGTAAAATGTATATTGATATAAATTTTAGAAATAATTACTTTACGCATTATTCAAAATACGATGTAATGGCTTACTTCATGCCGTTGTCCTTTAGCCAATGTTAGACTTATAATGGCATCGGCTAAGACAAAAGCAGGTGGTGATATTTGCTCGACGAGAAGTCTCTTTGAGCTGTGAATAGCAAGAACGTATTCCGGATAACTAGAAGTATCTTCCATTCCAGTGTGCCAATGATTAAAGGCTAGGCATACGACGATATATAGATCTCTCTCCAACATCTTGTGACAGCCGACAAAGCCGCGTACCTGCCGCTTACTGTGTTCCACTAATCTACCGACTTCTGGAGCGGCTGGAGATCGCGTGCGAAAAACTACTACGCATAAGTCCAGTTGAGAACGTTGCGATTTTTCTGAATTTCTAGAAAATCATATATTCGTTATGTTATATTCGCGCGCGAACCGCGCGGTTTAATCGTCTCACCTTTGGCCCTCTTGGAATAGCGTAAATTCCGTTTCGGTGGGTTCTAATACTGTCAAAAGGACACACGACAAATGTCTGAGGGACGACAATGGAGGGAGAGTGCCGCGCAATCTCACTTCGCTCCATCCGACTCTCGTCTTGCAGATGTCAATGCAATCGAAGTACTTTAAAACGTCGTCAAAGGATATCCAAAAGACGCCATCTGAAGCACCATGCGGCATAAGCATCTCTCGTAGTTGCGGAGTCCATATAGGACTGTCGTCCGACCAATCCCCTTTCCAACTATAATGACCCCAAGGATTGCGTAGTCGTAATAACCGTATTCCCTGCGTAACAATCGCGTGACATGTTCACTTGTTTCACCACACTTGTTTCAAGTTAAGTCAAGTAAAACGTCAAGCTAGGTGTGTACATCATCTGTGACACCTACCTGTACATCACGGACATCGAGGACAGAATATGCATGTCTGGAATAGACATTTTGATTAAAAACAATCAACAAAAAAATATGAAAGAAACGAAAATCGAATTTAGATATATAATATAAAATAATTCCATTTTACCTCGGCCTTAAACCTTTGCGTTGATATTCCTCCTCGTCAACCTTCATATTACCGCCTCCGCAGCTAGCACCCATTAAAAACATAGCTTGCCTCGAGGACAAGAGTTGTGCCCATATTAGGTCCCTATCGAGTTCGTCTTCGCTTGGCAATGCTGAAGGTTGTAAAGGCACGCTCTCACACGGGGCACCAGTTAATGTCGCTAGACCTTCTATAGCACGGCCGGACACTAAGGCCTCGTAACAGCCATGTATTTTAGCAACTGCTTTCTCAATTAACGGCACCCAAAGCTGTTTTCTTTTTGCCTTTAATATAAGATGTACGTCTAATAATATATGCGCGTGTCGGGGAATATAATATTTAACCCTTAGTTGGCACACTTCACCAGAATCACATAGCTGGCACACTCGGCCGTTTCAGACCCCACCACTAAAATGCTTGCTACGAGAAAGCTATTGATTTTTTTTACTTAAAAAAATTCCAAGATAATCTTCGAATGTTGTTTTAACAGATATTATAGGTTATTTTGATAAAATGTAATATTAAGTATGAAAAAAATTTCAGAACGTAAAAGAAAACGAAAAAATGACTATTTTCACTAAAAAATTCATAACTCTTCCATTTTAACTCTTCCATTTTTTAGTACCATTTTCGTACTATAGGAGGGCTTAAATTAGAGCTAAACTGGGGCGTTTAATACCCCACAGTGCCAGCTAAGGGTTAACCCAATATAACAATAATAAAAGAAATATACGACCGTTATGATATAATCAAATTAGAATAAAATTTACACCGTTTACGGTCGAGCTTGGATCTTAGCCTAATAATGTAAATGGCATAAAATTTTATTCTAATTTTAATATAACATATTTTATGTAGCGTATGGACACATACCTGAGAGTATACTAAGTGGCCTCTCTTATCACAGGGTAATAGATCATCAACGAGCACCGTCGTCCATTTTCCATCTTTACACAGTCTAACTTGGTAAGCACCTTCGGGGCATGTCTCTTTCATGACCAAAACTCTTCTCACGAGCTCGTCACTCTCGGCCAAAACAGCCAGAGCCGACAGTAACCAACAATTTCCTAAGACACCTTGCGAGATATCAGAAGGTAGGGGTGTCCTAAAGACAGCCCAAGGCAGTTTAGAATCGACACTTGAGTCCACGTTAATTTGGTGTGGTCTTCTCCACTGGACGACATGATTATCTTTCGTATCCGCGGGATTATAGTACAGGGATTTCGGAGCAGGCGGAAACGAATCATCGACGAATGGCTCGTTTGTCTGCAAGATAAATGAGAAAAGTATTATATCTTATTAATAATTTAGCATCCTAGGCATCTACAATATGGTTTAAACTTATGCTCCTACCTCCTTGCAATATCGTACAATACGCTCCCATTTCTCCAGCGCGTCTCTTTCCTCCAGCTGTCTAAGATTTTCCATCACCACGCTCTCTTGCCGCTGTATTCTAAGAGTACTAGTGCCCGACTCGAGAAGCCTAGGTATCCCTCTGTCTCCAGATACTTGGGACAGCAACTTCGAGCTTTGGCACATTTCGCAGATAACAGTTGTACTCTTGTTCTCATACGTGCACAATTTACATTGCCACTAGATATAAAAAGAAAACATTAGAGATAAAAATAGTAACAATCCCATTACGCAAATATCAATTTGCAAAATAAAGAATAAAAACCAAGAGTAAGGTAAATTGAAAGTTTCGGCAAGAGCGAACCAATCAAGAATTATTATGCTCGTGCCAATAACTTATTTCTAAGAGTTCTAAGAAAAAGATAAGTACTAACTTGAGTGTGTGAAGGATCTCTAGTCCTCGAATGCCTTTTATCACCTACCGACGAACCGTTTCTTCTTACGGAATTTCTATGCCTCGGAGTAACTGCTTTGGAATTCGTCGGGGTTGAACAGAGTCTTGGGCTTGGACTCCGTTGGCCAAGGGCCCTATTGTCTTTCGGGACCTCTAGGAAGTCCGCTAACGTCTTGCAGGCGTTGCAGTTTTGCGCGGAAAGCGGATTCCTCAGCGTGCACGATGGGCATACCCAACTCTCACCCTTTCGTAGAGTGGCATCCTCCAGATGCATGATGCTTTTCAACTTCGAGCCGCAGCAAGCCTCGCACGTCGTTCTCGACGCGGGGTTCAGCAGAGTGCACTTTTTACACGTCCACACCGGTGACGGCGGATCGATCTGATCGTCCAGATCGGATTCCGCTGTGGCTAGAGTGGCCGCCTTCGGTGGTATATATCTGACGCTATCCCTCGACACCACGATCGGGGATTGTGCATGCGTCGGATAGCTACTCGTGTCCTTCGTGACAGTTATCAAACTGGGCTGCGTTAACGACGGGGGTGATCGGGACGAACCGCAGATGTCACAACCGCTTGACCACAGTGGGTTATACGCGTAAGAACACTTTCTGCAGGTCCACATACGCTTTAGCGGGCTCACATTCGATACCTCGCCCACCGGGCTGGTCGCCTCGCTGTGCGCCTTCGTTGGCACCAGACCTAACTTACTGCTCTGTTTCTTTGGCAATGGCGGCGGTATGTCGGGATCCGTAATCCCAATATAGGAATACTTTGGTCTCGAGTTGAAGCCAATGGAATGCGGCGGCACCGCAGGCGGTTCCTCGTCGTTCAAACTCCTACGGTTAACAGTCTTCTTCTGCGTCACATTCGCGACCGAATCGGCGTCCGAGAAGGATCTTCTGTAGGACAAGGGTCCGGCGGACGATAACGCGCGCGGTACCCAAGCCGGCACACTGATAACCACTCCGCTGCAAGGCGCGGGACTCCTAGGGGCGTCACACGCTTCGCATTGCTCCAAACCGGGCGCATTGTCCAGCGTGCAATTGTCGCAGCTCCACAAGCCGTCATCTTGACGCGCTTCCGGCACCACCAGGCTCGTAGGTCGTTGTACCATGTGTTCCGATAATTTTTGAACAACGGAACCGTTCGACAGCGAACGACTGACTTTAGACTTGACCCGCTCGTACATAGAAGGACTATGTCGTTTTGGAGAACGTTGCGAGGTATCGCTGTTATCTGTGAACGGAAGCGTAGTGGACTCCATTGCTCCGATTGACGGCAAGATCCAGTCTTTATGGTGCCCTCTTCCTCTTTGGCTTCGGCTTATGCTTGTCAACTGTGCCATGCCTGAAAAATTTTGCGAGCAACAACTCTCAATTATCTAAAACGTGACGATTTTCTGACGATTCCTACGATTGTATTGTGTGACACTCACCTGTAATATTAATTTTACCATCGTTACCGGAGCCACTCTTGCTAACACCCCCATCTAGGACGTTGGCCAAAAGTCTAGACGTGACTTTAAGACGATTTTCTTTGTACAGATTAATCTTTCTACTCTTGCGTGCGCCAATCTGCTTTCCGTCGATTTGAGCTATCGACGCACTAGCATCGCAAGCCGCACAAATCGGTGAGATGCAATTATTGTCCAATAGACATCGAATACAAGTCCACTGTGTGACTAAAGAAGGTAAGGACGAAAAACGCTTCAGTGGTTTCCTGTCGGATGAATTACCACCCAACAAGCCGCAGTGAGAATTCTTCCTAACGTCGGCTGCAGACAAGTGTCTCTCAAAACTGCAATATTATAGGAACACATACCGTAAGAATGTGTAAAGCCCATTCTACAATAGCCGTAAAAGTATGCATTAAGACGTAAGTAGTAAGCTATTGACTAATGGGATTTTTACAATCCAAGAATGATCGACTGTAGTTGGTCAATTTTTACTGCTTACATCTTAACGCATACTTTTACGGCTATTGTAGAATGGGCTTCAAATTTATCTTTCAGAATGAGAATATGTTTGTTTGTGGCATTTGAAAAGAAAATTAATCGAAGAATCTCAATCTATGTTTATTGCAAAATATAACAAACAATATTAATTATTGATGAAACATTAATTTAAAAGTCTGCAAACTCTTGTTTTAAACTTGAGATTTCTTTGTTCAATATAGATATGCTCACATAAAGGGGAGCTTGATTTAGGATTAAGTGCCAAAAATTCAGTTCTACTTCTTGTAAACAACGTAAACATGACATAAGGGAATCAGGTGTCATACTCTGTGATACAGTGTTTCAGGTATCTCCAAACAACTCGTGACTATCCATGCAGATAGGATAGTTTTGGAGCACGGGCAAAACACATGGGAAAGAGCCAGGAGGAGGACGAGGAGAAGGGAGTACGAGGTGAGGATCCTCACCCGTGAGAAGCGGGACGTCGGGACTGACCGACCGTCTCCGTCGGGTTGCGCGCCAATCTGTCTGCCCTCGGCGGTGGCGTCGGCGGCGTCGATTCCCCGGAGGAGGCCTCCCCCCTCGCGGGACCCTCTCCGTCCTCGCGGCACCTGGTCGAGCGTCGCGCGCGATCCCCCGCGTGCGCCGCAACCACCGCTCTCCCTCCCCCCTGGCGCGCGCTGCCGCTACGCTCCGCGGCTACGCTCGTGGCACGGTCCTGCCTGCGATCGAGGCTGGCCCTCTCGTCGCTCCTGAGCCGCGTCAGCCCGCACCTGGCGCATCTCGCGCTCTCCGTCGGATTTATCAAAGCGCACTCCGAGCAATGCCACTGCAGCACCGACGCGATCGAGCCCATTCTCCACGCGTAGTCATGGCTCCCCCGCTGCGCCGCTCTATATCACCACTGTCGCGCGACCACGGACACGACGGTGTCGACGGTGTCGACGGCGGCGTCAACGGCGGCCAGCGACGACGGCGACGACGACGGCGGCGGTGGCGGCTGCGACGGCTCTGCTGCACACGGAGCCGGCGGCACCGCGGGGGCGGCGACGTCGATCCTCGTCCACGACCTCGACCCTCGCTCGCTGCCCGCGCTGAACGCCCGCGCGGAGCTCTCCTCTGCCCGTCGCTCGGCACCTCCGTCGCCGCACGCTGCACGACGGGAGAGACGACGCCGCGACGCGAGGCGACGCGACGTGATGCTGACGCAACGCGACGCGACGCGACGCCGCCGGCGGCTGGCGGCTGACGGTTAACGACGGCGATCAGCGGTGCCGCGCGAGACGCGTCCTCCTCGTCGTCGTCGTCGCGAGGATGTCGCCGTCGTCGGTCGCGACAGGAGCCCGCCGTTCTTTGTCATATGTTCCGCGACGGCCATATTTCCCGTCGAGGCCCCCTACCACGCGGTCAACCCTTTTGTCCCGCCAGCCCGCCAGCCCGCCACCCACCGATCGTCGCGACCTCGCAGGGACGACGCGAGATCGCTCGTCGCTCCGCGCGATGTAGATTTTCCAAAAACTACAACCGGTCGCGTTGTTCCGTCATCTTTTGCCAAATTTCAGCTCCGTTCGTGGAATCAGCTGATCGACGTATGATTGTACTCGTGTAGTTGCACAGTGTTCCTGACGTCATTTCCGCACTCGCTTTGATTTGTACTATTTGTAGTGGTTCATATTTAAATAAATAATAAGTGTGGAAATCAGTCTTGACGGTAAACGATGATAAATAATAATATGTCATTGTGATAATGAGTCTTTTTAGTCTCTTTGAATACTGTTACGCAGATATTTCTCGAATGACTGATTTGCATTCTCCAAAAAATTTTCGTGTGCGCGTTACTGGGCGTTTTAATTGCCACGCGCACTAGTGGCATCTATGAAAGAAAAGACGAAAGACGTGCGTCTCCTATTGTAGCAATCAAGGCGCTGAGCTTACCGAGTCCCTGTGGCGCAGAGGATAGCGCGTTGGACTTCTAATCCAAAGGTCGTGGGTTCGATCCCCACCAGGGATGAAACGCGAGCGGAATTGAAAAACCGTTTGTAATTATTTTTTTTTTGTCATTTGTCATTTACATGATCGCTCAAATTGTGAAAACAATTAAAAGCTATAATGGCGAAAACGTCTTAATTGTCGAATCGATATTATTATGAATTTTGTAACTCGTTCAGGATATTATCGTTTTGATAAAGATACAATATTAAAAAAACAATTGCATGAACATTTCGTTCTTCTATATAGTACGTTGGTTTTAAGTTTTTTAAACTTTATGACGTCGCGTAAGTGTGCCTCTTAAACGACGTCATGTAAATAAACAGGAAAAGACTAAAAATCTATAAGCCTATTATAAACGGAAGATAATTTTTTTTTACTCAAGTATTTTAATAGGAGTTAACCGTCGCCGTGAGATTACGTTAATGACGTCAATGACGTTATCTTGAAAGAATTAGGTTCGATTTTAGCTTACGTGTATTTATCGGAAGGGAGTCGAGTGCACCATTCATTCGAGACACCTATAAATATTTTACGCATACTCACGATTAGAGCCTTCGGATTAAAATACATATTTGTATATTGTAGGCCGAGAGAATGAATAGGAACTCATCTTCATTGATCCTTTTTATTAGCAGAATTGCAGTGCATGTAGCTCATACGCGCACGAAAGCATTGACCCGCGAACTGTCGACTTCGGCTTATCTATATCGGTAGGGCAAACGATTCTATCCCAAATTCTTACGTAGCCCAATCATCAGCTGTTGTTTCTTCGCGTGAAGAAACACAAACATCAGCATTGGTACGGAACGTTCGAACGTCCGTATAACATGAAATCAAATATCTCGCTAGATTATTAGAAAATTCGCTTACTATATTAGATATAAATAATGTCAAATATTATAATGTTTCTGCTTTCTGAGAGTATCATATTTAAAATATCTCGGTAATCTTATTGAAGAAGGAATATAGGAGAGATGTGTTATATTCAAGGAATTCGGGGACGAAGATAAACGGCGATATTTTAGCATACATCCAGTATTTGATCATCCATAAATACTCGGTACCTCATTAAGGGATGACACACGAAACTCTCCGCTTTCTGGGCCTGTCCAGATTTGCTCCTCCGAGAAGCTCACGGGCATCCCCTTTTGGTCACCGAGAGAGAGACGGCACCCCGTCGGTTTATTTACGGAAACGCTTCTCTTCTTTGCCTCTCACTGAGAGGCGCTTTACTTTGATTGCACCAACTGCTAACAGTGTTTTAGTTTTGTTCGATTTCTCGAAGCGAAAATAATTCTGGAGCAAAGGAGGTCTTCGAGCGTAAAGAGCAGGGAACGAGGTGGGTAAAAAGAGATTAATTAGAAAGGGACACGCCACGCCTTGTTTCTGCAACTGAAGTTTTTCATTTTGAACAGCAAAAATTTTACACTGTTATATTTTGCATTTCTTATTTTTCGACAGAGCGTGGATTTTCAACAATTTTCATTGTAATTAAATAAAACAGTAAAGGGTTTCCTTTAACAAACGCACGTTATTTCCATAACAAATTTATAGTTGAAATAAAAAACAATTCTAATATATATATATATATATATATATTGGAAATGCATGGAGATAAAAGTCGTTTGCGGCCGATAAAAATAAAAATATTATTTATTGCCGAACGTTATATACGAAATCTCTTCTATTATTGATATTTGTGTACACACGTGAATCGTATACAACGGAATATTATAAAATTATATTTTAAACAATACCTACGCTTATCTTTATGTCAAGATATATTTGAGCTGACATTTTCCATTATTACTGTGATAAACAGTCCTTGCCAAGTAACGATGACATACTAGAATTTTCCGTTTAACGACACCAACATTTCCATGGTCGTGTTTGCCAAGTAACAGTGACGCCGTTTAAACTTTCCGTTTTGTTATTCGTCACCTGTACCTGTACCTCCATTGAGCGTGACGGGCGCGGGGGATCGGTCGAGCAACGACAATGTGCTCCCGATTCTAGGTTCTTTATCTTCGGCCCGAAGTGATTTTCTCGGACTTTCGAATCGCGACGTGACGGTCACGATCGGCCTCGTGCGCGTTCCGTTTGCCGTAACGCTCTTTGGAATGGAGCCAGTACGATTTACTGCTGCCAGACAGCTAGTCGCCGCGTCCACACGACTCCACTTCGTAATCGTAGAACAGCCTCATAAATAATTGTGTTGTTCTTCCTCTCTCATTTGCGTGAACGGCGGACACGGGCTCTTAATTAGCGGCGATTACTGCACACGCGATAGAGCCGCGTTCTGCGACTCGCTCTCGAGTATCGAGTATCGTTATATAAATTGCAATTTGTTGCCGGCAGCGAAAACGTGTCTTTAATTACATTACAGGAGGCTCGATGCGTAGATCTGAATTTATTCATTGTGACGCATTATACATATATAGCTGACGTATATAAATTATTCACTTATACTATATACGTTTACGCGAGCGTTATTTCTGTAGTAACTTACGACAATTCCTTCGCGTAAACGGAATTTTGTAGTAACTTACGATAATTTACTCCGCGTAAACGAGTGTATTAGTTATACATAAATTCGTCAAAATTTTCTGGCTACACTGAGAAAAAAAGTTTGTTAATCCCAAAAAATATTTAGTCCGATACGTTCAGCTAAACATTTCAGTTAGTTAACTAAACATTAGTTGAATTAATTAATTCTTGATTAAAGAAATTAAATAAATTGTCGAAACAACTAATGTTTAGTTAACTAACTAAAATGTTTAGTTGAACGTATCGGATTAAATATTTTTTGGAATCAACAATTTTTTTTCTCAGTGTACTGTTTTTAACGTTTACATCATTCTCAGCGTTTTGAATGCGGAAATAAACAAATCTGTATGCATATATTGAGATATATGTTTTAGCCATTGATGCTGAGAATAACAGTAACAAGACCCCCTGCTGCTTGGAAAACTCTTAAATCTTGGCAATTGACATCACTCTATTCGTTTACCCTGAGTCAATTAACTACTTAACATGGAGAATGTCGCATATTAAAACTCATAAATGGAAAATTTTCCGTGAGGTGATATCATGAATAAATGCATTGCATCTATTGTTTCCATATCACAAACATGGAGATTGCATTGAACGGCTATTGATCTTCAACGTAAAAAATGTACGAAGGCGAAGTAATACGTCTTTGATATACTCGATAAAACTTATCTAATCAGTCATTTAGATAATTACTTACACATACACATACGCATTATTAGAGTTATACATGATTATATAAAACGCATATTAGATTCGAAAGTATGACATTCATCATTATCGTACATTTAAAATTGTTAATATGACATATGCTTCACTCGAATAAAGCTTTCGATTAAATTGTCGTCGAGGAAAAATCTAATATAATAGCTCACACGAAAAGAAAGTTATACATTTATCGCATGGAAATCTTCTGACACTCTGCCCATTCTTATGTCATTTATTTTCTACAACATTAACCGATGCGTGTCTAATAACAGTTAACTCTATGACGGAGCTTCTTCATGCGTCGACAGATTTTTCTTCGCTTCACTTTGAACTGAACAATTCACTCCGAAGAAAACGGTTTAATGTCGCGATTATTTATATAAAGAACTTTCTTCCGTGATCGATAATCTAAACGTGTGCGAGAAAGCATTTTACAATCTTGTATTATGCGGGAAAGTAAAAATAATACAACAAGGAGTTTTCTATGTCACGTTTATTATTTTATATATAATAATTTAGAATATTAAGTAACAATTGATAAAAAAAATGACTACTGTATAAAATATCTTTTAATCGCTAATTTTTTTTATTCAAGTCTACTTTTATAAGGAAATAAATAAAATAGAATATTGTAAATTCGGTGTTGTACGAAACTTCAAAATTTTTCAAAAAAATTTTGGAAAAGATTTCTCGCGCGAGGGAAACAATGAGTTCATGTCTCGCCA